CTCCGCCGTGTCCCTCGCGCCTCGCGCGGCGCCGCCGCTGCTCCCGCGCATGCTGACTGACACCGCGGGAACACGCAACACCGACCATCATCAGATGATATTTAAATTTATTTCTTAATATATATTATAGTGTATCTGTAAAGATAAACACACTTTAACTGAATTCTATTTCAAGACTCAACTGAGCACACACATAATATATCTTGTTCTCAATAATTAAAGAATTCGTAGACCAGAAATTATTCACGGTACGGTTCTGTTAATTGTTGAAAACGGCGCATTTTGATTTGTAGTAGATTTCTAATTCGAATCTAAGAACAACATGTATCTTCATAGAACAAGAGTTATATCTTGCTTTCATTGTAGTGCAGAGCGGTTCTTTTTATAATAATGTCTGCAATAGATCCTAAATAAATAACTTTGAATTATTATGCTTATCATTTTTTTCTTTTATTATTAAAAATCATTACAAATAGGACTATGACTTTTATTAAGTAAAACCTGGATGCTATTTCGTAAGTTACGAGAAGGCAGTTAACAGTAACATGGTTGATGTCGTTGCTTCTCGATTGTTCCGGCAACAAATAACATGCTCAACAATCATGTAAATTGTTCCCGTACAATGAAACGAAGATTTTTTTTGCTATCATTGAATTGATTGACATTGAAAATGGAGGTTAAATCAATGGAAAAACAAAACAATTGAGACACGATTTAATTGAATTCTAATGTTTTTATTATTTGTCTGAGCTTCAACTTTAGACTTCGTAAGTATGAACTTTTACATAATATATTTGTTCATAAAGTTTTTCTTTGTCTCTGAACGAATACAGAATAAAGGATTTCATGATGGCATTACAATTCAGTTTTCTTCTTGGTATCTTACTATCGTATCTTCTGCAAATGTGGATGTCATAACGTTTGAGAATCGACAAATTCACCTGTATTGATGTAAATATCCATTGAATTACGTGTTCATAAGAGTTCCTATTTAGATATTAGATGGTACAGAGAACGTTATTTCGTCAAAATTTTGATATATCTGTTATTTCAATTGCAAATATATTGGTACCTCTTAGTTTATGTAGAATAAAAAGATTGAGATTTTTTGCTTGGTAGCTTTGAGCGGCGCCACTTCAAGGATCTCGTTCTTCCGTAGTGTGAGCAGAATGCCGAATGCCGGGAGATTGTGCAGCACGTGTGTGAACACAAGGTCGATGTAACATTACATGTGAATGAAAAATCCGTTTCGTTTGAGATAGAAATATTGCTGACAGAGTTAGCCGCTACACCAGTGAATGTTTGTCCTCAGTTCAGTAATATTACAGCTTTGTAAAATAATTAACAACTTGGAAAGAAAAATTATTGTCGATAGTGCTGCCCTCTTTCCACTAAATGCCAAAGTAATTACCCACATATCTTATCACACTGCTTGTTAAAATTGTCCAACTTCATTTACTTTTACATTTTTACGCAAACTACCAGATATTGATAGTGTTCCGAAACAAAACTATGTAACATGTCTAGCGTGACTCACACCGCAAGAAACAAATCTAATACCAAAGAGTAGTTAAATGTAATTTCCAAATTTCTTTGTTTGTTTGTGAATGCATTAATAGCATTACTCGTAATTAAACTGAAGGTTTTGCTAATTAACAATGCATTTGTCACAAGGTTATTTTACTCAATAACTCTTTGTAAGTAATAAGATGTGAATAACATTGTATGCGTTGGTTCCCCGCGGCGCGGAGTGCCATCGTACAGGTTGTAGTTCCCTCGCTGAGTGGTCGTAAAGTGTAGCATGTGCACTGCGCATGCGTAACGCAAGATCAGTTAAAGCGGCAATATAAGGTTTTATTGCATGTTTACATATGTAACGTGATGCAAATTTAAACCTATAAAGCAGAGAAAATACACACGTTAAGCGATATAATATTACGTTGGGCATTTCATGTAAAAGAATATGATATCAGTACTTATTTATGATATTATTAAAAATATATAAATATTGCGTGATTATTATAATTATAAGTACGAGTTAAATTGTAACAAATGTCTATTGTATCAAAATATTAATAGATCAGTTTCGTTCTTTTGCTATAATTAAAACAAATAGTTTTGCTCTTGACCTCCGAGCGCGGGTCGCGCGTGTGCCCCTCTGACGTCACCGAGATGACGTCACCGCGATGGGATGAGGACAGGCGAGTGACGCGGCGCATCGTCTTGAACCACAGTTTGAACTTGAGACGTTCGCTTGAGGGATACCAAAGACATTTAAGTGTCTAATATCATATAGATAACAATATACAAACTATAGCCCCTCGCCCCGCACTCCGCGGCCCGTCACAGCTGGCTGGCGGCGACCGACGTTAGTTCCGCACAATTACTTAAATACTGTGTACATATAAACATAAAGAATGATACGGATCAAATGTTCTATAATGACGTAAAATTACATGTACGATGGTAAATTATTTAATAAGTGTTTTTTATTGATCGTACAATAATGCGGAACGAATGTCATGACATGAGGTCATGCGATATAATATACGATAGGTGAAATTGAGATCAGAGGCCTTATTGTGGTCGTCGCCGTCGCCGCTATTGTGTGGATGAATTTCAGCTTAAACTCAAAAGTCATATC